ATGAACAAGGAAGACCAAAGAGTCGATGCTTTTGAGTTGTGGTGCTGGCAAAGAATAGTGAAAGGACTATGAACTGCCAGAAGTGTGAACAAATCTGTCCTGGAAGAAGTGTAGCCAGAATGCTCCTTGGAAGCAAGAATGGCCAGACTTTGTCTCACCTACTTTGGTCACATTATTAGAAGGGACCATTCCCTGGAGCAGGATATCATGCTTGGTAAAGTGGAGGGTCAACAGAAGAGGGAAAGACCTTTGACAAGATGGATTGACAGTGGCTGCAATGATGAGCCAGGTATAGAAATGATTGTGAAGCTGGCACAAGACTGGGCAGTGTTTCATTCTGTTGTACATAGGGTCACTATAAGTTGGAGTTGACTTGATAGCACCTAACAACAACTCCCCCAATGTGAGAGTTAAGATTGTGTGTCTACTTGGCTGGGCCATGATAATAATTAGGTTAGCAATTATGATGTAGTCATCCCCCATGATGAGATCTGATATAATATAATCACTTCCATAATGAGATCTGCAATGAGCAGCCAATCAGTTGAAAGGGAGCTTCTTTTCAGATGTGGCCTGCCTCCAATATATATGGAAAAGCTCTGGCAGAGCTCTCTGGCTTTTTGCTCGATCTGGATCCTGCATTGGGCTTGTCATCATCATCTCTGATTCTTGGACTTGAACTAGTGGCATGCCATATTGCCCACTCATTTTAAGATTGTTGCCTTCACAGCCTATGATCCAACAGCCTGTCATCTTACCTGTCTATCTTGGATTCATCAGCCTCTGAAGCCAGCAGCCTGCTGTGGTGCCTAACAAGCAGATGACACAATTTTGCTTGCTGGAAATGAGGGTGACTTGAAGCACTTAGTGATGAAGATTAAAGACTACAGTGTGCAGTATGGATTACATCTCAACATAAAGAAAATGAAAATCATTTTGGGTTCATTAACCTCTACAGCTATGTGAGTCTGGAGAAGCCTCCAGCTTGATGTCTGACCCATAGACATGTCATTTGCTAGCTTCTACAACTGTATGAGTCATTTTCTTGAAGTAAATTTCTCTTCTTCTCTTTTTCTCTCCATATAAACTTCACTGGTTTTGCTTCTGTAGAGAACCCAGCCTAAGACACGCCACCCCCAACCCCAATAAACCTTTGCATTTTTCTTTTCAGTGTCTACTTCTGGGAGATTCTAACTGGCACAAATCTGGAATCAGGCCCCTGAATTTAAGTCACTTCCTGCTTCCAGCTCTGGAATGTGTTATCTACACATCAGAGCTACTGTTATCTTATATGTAAAATTAAAGACTCTTATTTCTTTTATACCTCTATTACATAATTATTGTGAGGATAAGATGAACATGTACATGAAAATGCTATGTTATTTCAAAATCACTGTGTAGACTACCATCTTTTTTATTAAAAGGCCTAATGAGTTAAAGCATTTCCCAGATTACCTAACAGTCCTCAATAGTTTAAAAAACTTCAAAGATGATAGTTTTCAAGTCCTTTCAAGGTTACCATGGTGTATGTGGCTTTTTGTAGCTTTTCTTATTCCCAGATCTTGCTTGACAATCAGATCCAGACCTAATAAATCATTGTAGAGTGCTATCATAGGAATTTTGGTTTGTTTCTTTTCATTTCTAGGATAATAATTACTAAGATAGAGGAAATGAGAAATAGTGAAATATTCTTTTAGAGAAAACACAATGGCCAGGTTATTGGGAGAAAATACTTAACACCTGTATAACTACAAACTAATGTTTTCTAGCATTATGTGATAAGACAATTTTGTATCTGTGAATATGTATTAGGAGCTCTGGTAGCATAGTGCCTAAGGCATCTGATTCCTGATGAAAAGGCTGGAGGTTTAAACCTTGGAAGGAAGACTAGGCAATCTACTTCCATAGAGATACCATCTCGGAAACCCAAGGAGGGGTCCCGATGAGTAGGAGCTGACTTGACTGCAGTGAGTTTGGTTTTTGGTTTGGTTTGAATATGTACTACAAATTGTATGTGTCACAAATTTGATATCCAAAACCAAACCCACAGCCATTGAGTTGATTCTGACTCATAACCACCCTAGAGGACAGAATAGAACTGCCCCATAGAGTTTTCCAAGGCTGTAAATCTCTATGAAAGCAGACTGTCATACCTTTCTCCCATGGAACAACTTGTTTGAGTTTGACCTTTTGGTAGCAGCCAAGCACTTTAACCATTGCACCACTAGGGCTCACTTCAATTTGCCAAACCAAACTCACTGTCATTGGGTTGATTCTGACTCATAGCAAACCCCATAGGGTTTCCAAGGCAGTAAATCTTTACGGAAGTAGATTGCCCTATCTTCTTTCTGTGGAATGGTTGGTGGGTTTGAACTGCCAACCTCCTGGTTAGCAGTCAAATGCCTTAGGCACTATGCCACCAGAGCTCCTTATTATACATAAAAATATTTCTTTTAAGCATATTCTTTTAGCATATACTCAGGATCTATACCTATCTATACTGCCTGTAGGAATCACTGGATGATGCAAATGATTAATGCTCTTGGCTGCTAACAGAAAGGTTAGAGGTTTGAGTCCACCCAGAGACACCTCAGAAGAAAGGCCTGGTGATCTACTTCTGAAAAATCAGCTACTGAAAACCCCATGGAGCCAAGTTCTTTGACAAACATGGGGTCACTACCAGTCAAAATCTACCCCATGGCAACTAACTGTAATGCATGCCAGTGATCACTGTCAGTAACTTTTTATCAGAAAAGCTTTCACCAGTAGCTTAAGAAAAGGTAGAATTTTTTTTTTTTTTTTTTTTGGTGATTTGGGTGGAAGTTTACAGAGCAAATTCACTTTCCTTACAGCAGTTCACACACCTTGTTTCATGACATTGACTACAATTTACCCAATGCAACACCCCCCCTCCCACTTCCTGGAGAGTTACCTATTCCCTGTGTCCACCCCTGAAAAGGCAGAATTTTTAAGGATTGGTTGCTTTAGTTGATGGTTCAGATTTGCAAAGGGTTTCTTTCTTCCTGCTTTTCAAAAGGTGTATCTTTCATTTGCATTTGAGAGGTGACAGAAGTTCATAGCTACTGCTTTGAAAGTCTGTGGTTCCACACAAAGAACTGTAAAAAGATTAAGAAACCCAAGTTCCTTTTGCTCATCCTGCCCAAAGAAATGCACCCCCCCCACACACACCTTTGTTTAAAGCTGAGTGACAGGCCTAAAACATTTTGGTGTTTATTCAGGTAACAAGATAATACTCAACTATGCATAGCTCCATGTCACGTAACAACAACAACATGCATAGCTGAAAATGCAAATTAAATTCAAAGAGTTCTGCATATATTTTATATGGATAAAAGTATAAGTAAGAACACAGAATTCCTATTGTTCTTTACTGTGGATACAAAACATCTGCAACATGAACTGGAGACTAATCCGAACGCCAATTAGATAGACTGGATTATAAATTCCACTAGGCAATTTTAAGAGTATGTCTCATCCTAGTTTAGTATAAATAGTAGAGTTCCTCAAACTCATATGGATTTTTTTGGGGGGGGGCATCTGGGAAGTTTGAATAAAACTTCAAAGGGCCTTAAGCCAAGTGACCTCAAAATGCAGTTCACAAAACAGTACACAATGATGAAACCTGAAGCAATAAAACGCTAACCAAAAAAACCAAACCCACTGCCATCAAGTCGATTCTGACTCATAGCGACCTCCAATGGGTTTCCGAGGTGGTAAATCTTTACGTAAGTAGATTTGCCCGGTCTTCCTTCCGCGGAGTTCCTGGTGGGTTTGAACCACCAACCTTCTGGTTAGCAGTCAAATGTCTTAGGCACTGCACCAGCAGAGCTCTGAAATGTAAACAGTGATATATTAAGACACGGCTGAATTTTCATTTTATTTTGAAGTTCTACTGGGTTGTCTTCAGACACCTTCCTTCCATGTCTTAAATTGTTTCAAGAAAGTTAGGGGAGAATCCAACAGTCTGGAGGAACTTAATAAAGTTTAGCACATAGTACCCATAATGTTACAGGGTACTTCTTTTTGAATAAAGGAGTTATCCATCCTGACTCCCTCAGAATGAAAAAAAGGCAAATTTGCATTTCAGAATCTCTTTGAATGCCTGGAGTTTGAAAAGTCTCAGTTTCTCAGCCTTTGTTCCTCTTTTCCCCAGGGTTCGTAGGCCACCTGTCCCACAGGACACACCTGCCACTCACCACCCTCGGAGACAGCAGGCCGCCCGCGCCAGTCTCTGTACCATAAGGAAGAAACTGCGCAGAAGCGGCGAGTCTGGAACGCGGCCTTTCGCGGGAGAGGGTTGGGGACGTCTAGGGGCGGCGCTGAGCGGTGCGCGCGCCGCCGCCGTCGCGTCACCAGCGTGCGGCACGTGCCCGTGTTTACGTCCCTCGTGGAGCTGCCTACGTCAGCAGCCGAATGGCAACATTGTGGCGATGCTAAGGCGCACAGTTTAGGAGACGCGTCTGTCCGTCTGGCCGGCTCTGGGCAGTAGCGAAAAGGAGGAGTAGGAGGAGAAGGGGGCGGGGAGATTGGCCTGGCGAGTAGCAGAGAAGCGAACACTGGCGGCCCGGACCGCGAACCTCCTTGTCTTGCCCCGCGGGATCCACGCCTCACCTCCGGCGCGACGCAGACGCAACCCCGCGGCCTGGCTCCGGGCTCCCAGCGCAACCGTGCGAAGGGCGGCCGGCGAGGGCGCGAGGCGCCACTGCAACGCGGAGCGTGTAAACAGATCCTGCCGCGCGTGACCATGTGAACTACTTGCGCTGGGGACGCGTATTGTCTTTACCGCAAGCCGCGCCACAAAGGAGAGCGGCGGGTCCGAGTGCAGAGGGACCGGCAGCAAACAGGCAGAGCTAGCCGGCGCGCTAAGATGGCTGAAGGCACACGACGAGAGTGAGCGGGGGGCGCGGCGCAGGCAGCCAGTGATTCCTCGGGCAGTAGGGCTGGCGGTGTCTCCCCCGCGACCCGGCGCCGGAGCTGCCATGTCGTTCGCACTCGAAGAGACTCTGGAGTCGGACTGGGTGGCAGTGCGGCCCCATGTGTTCGACGAGCGGGAGAAGCACAAGTTTGTCTTCATCGTGGCCTGGAACGAGATAGAGGGCAAGTTTGCCATAACTTGCCACAACCGGACGGCCCAGAGGCAGAGGAGCGGCTCCCGAGAGCAGGCGGGGGCGCGAGGGGGTTCCGAGGCTGGGGGTTCCACATCTGATGGGCCCCGCGGACCGGGCAGCCCGGCGGCTAAGGGCCGGCCCGAGGTCACCGCGTCTGCGACTCTTGGCTGGAGCCCTGGGCCCCGGAGGGTCTCTGCCTGGACTGAGGGCGGCTCTCCGAGGAGCGCCCGCAGCCTTCGGGGGGACCCTATAATACGGAATCCATCCAGCAAAGGGGCGGAGAGTCCCATCAGGAGCCCAGTGAGGGCCAAGTCCAGCCCGGTCCCTAGAGGAGCTGAAGCCAGAGATGTGGCAGGGACTGCCACTGCGGCAGCCCGTCTGGCGCCTGGGGAGGCCCCGGTGTCCTCGGTGCGGGTGGTGAGCGCCTCCGGGGTGGTGTCCGAAGAAATCGAGGTGCTGGAAATCGTGAAGGAGGATGAGGCGGCCTCTGCGCCCCTGATGCTCTCAGACGCAGAGCAGCAGCCGCCGCCTGCCACCGAGCTGGAGTCCCCGGCCGAGGAGTGCAGCTGGGCTGGGCTCTTCTCCTTCCAGGATCTGCGCGCCGTACACCAGCAGCTCTGCTCTGTGAACTCGCAGCTGGAGCCATGCCTGCCCATGTTCCCCGAGGAACCCTCGGGCATGTGGACTGTCTTGTTCGGGGGCGCCCCGGAGATGACCGAGCAGGAGATCGACACCCTGTGTTACCAGCTCCAGGTCTACCTAGGCCACGGCCTGGATACCTGCGGCTGGAAAATCCTCTCCCAGGTACTCTTCACGGAGACCGACGACCCAGAGGAGTACTACGAAAGCCTCAGCGAGCTAAGGCAGAAGGGCTACGAAGAAGTGCTTCAGCGGGCCCGGAAGCGCATCCAGGAGGTAAGAACCAGTCACTGCTTTGGTTACTGCCTACCAAAAGGCAGGAGTTTCTGGGGGTGTGAGCATTTGGGATGCTTGTTTTCTGAACAAGGGAAAGGAGGAAGAGCTCGGACCTACTTCCCTCTTCAGTCCTTTCAATGTAAGAAAAATGAAGGCTGTCAAAAAAATTTAATTACAGTTTTCGAGAACTCTTTAATAGGAAGGTTACATTTTTTAAGGCTATCTTTTCTGTATGTAAGTTTATTGACCATATTGTTTATGGAAAACATACTTTTCTTAATAGGCTTTCTGAAGGACTTCTGATAAGTCTCTAGATCCTATCTCCCTCCGCCCCATTTACCGAATAGATTATAATCGGTCTCTGTTTACTGTTAGTACTTGTAATAAGATTAAAGTCTAGGAAATAAGGCACCTGTAAACAAATCAGCATGGTTCTTTGCCCCTGAAGCTCTTTCCAGCAATAACTGCCCATATAGCAACAGCTTCTTTCCTGGTGGTATGCTTATTTACTCAAAACAGATTGTCTTATGGGGCAAAGTTGATCTATTTTAATTCTCCATATGTAGTCTGGCAACTTAGGCAAATGTTATTTATTTCTTCCCAAATATAGTAGCCTGCCGAAATGAAAAAGCACCAAATGACATTTGGATGCAAATGGATGTTTAAGGGTTTTATTCATATTTAGGGACAATCTCGGATCTTTACAGATGGCTCAGGTTTCACTCTTCGTTTTAGAGAACTGTCTTGGACAGGAATGTTTATTACATTTTTGTACCTATCATAAGAGTTACAACACTGCAAAAGGTTCAGTTTCCTTCTTTTAGCCTTAAAATAACAGGAAATAATGGGGAAAAGGTGTGAACTAGTGTAAGTATAGGGCCCCTCAGTGTTTAAGGTATTCGTGGTTTAAGGTGGTGCTTTATTATTGCTTCTGCTGAAGGAACTTTCTAAAATAGTATTTTTAAATACACTTCATTTCCCTTAATGGACTCCAACAGGTACTTTTTCAAAACATTTATTGTTTCTGTATTGACACAAACTGAATTTGGATTTGGGGTGGTAATGGACCTTTCTGTGCTGTTGTTCCTGAGGCTGTGTTGTAATTTATTAACTTTGCTTACCTACCTACCCATTGCCATCTAGTCAATTCTGACTCATAGCCACCCTATAGGACCGAGTAGAACTGCCCTATGAAGTTTCTGAGGCTGTAAATTTTTACAGAAGCCAACTGCAGCATCTTTCTCCCACAGAGCAGCTGGTGGGTCATGACCAACCTTTTGGCTAGCAGCCAAGTGCTTTAACCACTGCACCACCAGAGCTTCAGTCCTGCTATTAGGCTAGGAAACTGGTTTCTTAGTAGAATATTATCTGTTTCTTTGCTAGTATTTAGTAAATAATTCTTGGTTGCATATCCCATTACAACTTCTGAATCCACATTTTCATTTCTTCTTGTTAGTTCACTTTATATTAAATGTTAGCTGCCATAACAGGATCCTACAGTTCCAGGGATGTGTTTTTATTTCCCTTTTTCTTTCCTCACTTCTGGAGTCTCAGTTGTATCTCAAATTATTTTTGGAAGGAAGTGAGAGAGATATCTTAAATAATCATGTATCTTCTCTTTCATATTTTGTTCATATTGACCTGTATCTCTTTAATACTGTTAGAACAAAGTGCTTCTTCCTCAAGTTATTGTTTGTTTTCTAACTTTCTTTTCATCATTAAATGATGTAGGCCTATTTGATTTTAACTTTATCAGAAAAAGCAAGTGTGTCTGGTTTGTTTTTAATGCAAATTGGATTAAAAAAATGAAGCCTGCCAAAAAAGTTAACTGTACTTGCAGTTTTTGAGAACTTTTTAAAACAGGAAGGTTACATTTTTTAAGAGTATCTTTTCTGTATATAGGTTATATTGATCATATTGTTTATGGAAAACATACTTTTTAATGCAATAGGGAAAACATTTAATAAAGAGTATTTTGTGTTTTGGGAAATAAAAATAAATGAAATTTACTATAAATTCATTTAACATTAAATGTATAAGTCTGTGGTGCTTCTTTTAGTTGACTTGAACAGTATTTGACAAACAGCTATTGAGGACAGCAAATAGGTTTAACTCTGCTGCCAACCCTGATTTCCACTGGAGGGTTAGGTTGAGAGAAATTCTGAGGCTCACTTGGTTGGGAGGGGGAAGGGTGTTGTGATTGATTAGTGATGTCTGCCATGGCATAATTGTAGTGTATAGTATACAGGCCATGTATTTGTGTTTCCCAGCTGCTTAAATTCTTTACCATTTTAATAGATTTCAGTAACATTTTTTTGAAGTGAAGTCTTTATGGAAGTTGTGTCATCTTTGTATTATTAATTCCATTGAGGTTAGTCATTCACCTAATTCAATGTTGTCTTTTATTCCAATTGTCAAGTTGACTTAAACTTCTGGAACTGCCATAGGTTTTTAAACCAAGCATATCTGATAAGTCAAGCACATTCTTAGGTGTGTATTACTGAGAAAATTTAGTCACCTGGTTGCTTTTCCTTCTTTAATTTCTGTAAATTAATATTTGACCATTTTTCCTACAGTATTTCTTTTCCCTTCCATTTAAAGATTTCAGCTTAAAGGCTACACCTGTTTTTGTTCAAAATGGTCAGTAAATTGTTGAAAGAAGGTTTTCTGTTTTTTTTTAATAGAACAGACTGTACACGTAGATTGTGAATTTTTCAAGGTCACTGGCCATGATAATGTCTTGGAATTCTCTTTGCCACCCCTAGTTGAGGGCCACACATCTTGTGAGTACTCTTAATAGTGGATAAAGAACATCAGAGTTTTTAAATATTGGAAGAATTTAAAGTGTCCTTTTAATGCAGGGTTGTGGGTAAATAAAATTTTTATAAATTGGTAAATGTAAATTCCTCAAGGAAACTTGCTACTTAAAAACTGGGGAAAAATAACACTACCAATAATTGGTTAAATAAGAGATCTTTATTTGGGTTGATAAATTTCCTGTAAGTTGAGGGTGGTGCTGTGGATTGACTTTTATAGGGTATAGCATAGTGCCTAAGGCATTTGACTGCTAACCCGAAGGCTGGCAGTTCAAACCCACCAGCAACTCCTCGGAAGGAAGGCTGGGGCCATCTACTTCTGTAGTGATGTTGTTGTTATGTGCTGTCGAGTCAAACCCAACCCCTCCTTGGGTTTCCGAGGCAGTATCACTACTGAAGTAGGATTGCCCAACCTTCCTTCCGAGGAGTGGCTGGTGGTTTTGAACTGCCAGCCATCTGGTTAGCAGGCAAGTGTCTTAGCCATTATGCTACCAGAGTTCCTCTGTAGTGCCTCAGAAACCCAAGGAAGGGGTTGCTGTGAGTCAGACCTGACTTGATGCCTGTGAGTTGAGTAAGTAGCATGCAGAGTTTTATATTCGTGGGTGTGTATGCATTTTTGGAGAGAAAGTCCTAGGTTTTACCAGACTCTTAGAGATGTTCCTCAAAGAGAGATTTAAAACCACAATTCTAAATTATCTGTCTTGTACGCTTACGGCATACCTCTGTTGCAGTTTAATTTTTAGAATATCCTTATAATTTAACGGGATGATAAGAAATAATCTCCTATCTTTGGTAAAATATTGATGAATGAAATCTTAGGTTTTCCTCTAAAAGTTTCTGTTAATGATTAGCAAGTTTCATTAACTGACGGGAATAATAGTTTGTGAGGAGTTACAATGTATATAATGCTAATGAGAAATTATTTTTAGATGACATAAGAGTTATACTATTGTATACTACTTAAGGCTTTTGCAAAAACGACAAGGAGGCCACATGTTCTGACCGTCTCTAATCCCACAAGAGGGAGACAGGATTACCAGCAGTAGCCCAAGGCCTATTCCTGCCAGGCCAGACATGCTGCCTCCCTCCAGCCCTTTCACCAACCGTTCCTCCCAAAGCGCCCACCACCTCTCTCCTGGGTTCAATAATTCGCTG